CCAAAAAAAAAAAAAAAAAAGTCTTAGCATAGATTTCTAGTTTTGCTTCACTAGTCCTTTTATGTCTGTAGGACCGGTAGTGGTGCTTCTTTCCATCTTGATTTGGTAATTATTGTGCTCTCTCACTCTCTCACTGTCTTACTTTACATCCTACAAATGTTCATATGTTATAATTTCACTGACATTTTTTCATTAATGCTCTGTCAATTTAATGTGTGATTCTATAACCCATGAATATTTGTTTTTGTTTTTGCAGTGGAGTCTTACTCACCCAGACTGGAGTGCAGTGGCACAATCTCGGCTCACTGCAACTTCCACTTCCCAGGGTCAAGTGAATCTCCTGTCTCAGCCTCGCGAGTCATTGAAAATACAGCTGCGTGCCACCACACCCAGCTAATTTTTGCATTTTCAGTAGAGACAGGGTTTCACCATATTGGCCAGGCTGGTCTCAAAGTCCTGACCTCATATGATCCACCTGCCTCAGCCTCCCAAAGTGCTGGGATTACAGGCATGAGCCACCACACCCGACGTATTACCCATGAATATTTAGAATGTTATTTGTTTCCAAAGTATTGTTTTTTCTCTAAATGTCTTCTTATTGTTGGCTGCTAATTTAATTGAACTTCTAATCAAGAAACGTTACCTGTAGTAACAGTTTGGATGCTTACTTTGTTGTCTAAAAATGATAGATATGGCCGGGCACAGTGGCTCACACCTGTAATCCCACCACTTTGGGAAACTAAGGTGGGTGGATCACAAAGTCGGGAGATTGAGACCATCGGGCCAACATGGTGAAACCCCATCTCTACTAAAAATACAAAAAAAAATAGCTGGGTGTGGTGGGGCACGCCTGTAATCCTAGCTACTTGGGAGGCTGAGGCAGGAGAATCGCTTGAACCCAGAAGGCAGAGATTGCAGTAACCCAAGATCACGCCACTGTGCTCTAGCCTGGCGACAGAGCGAGACTTCATTTCCAAAAAAAAAAAAAAGATAGATATTTCTGATCAATATGTTTTCATAAGTAAGTATTCCTGGCCTTGCACAGTGGCTCACACCAGTAATCCCAACGCTTTGGAAGGCCAAGGTGGCCAGATCCTGTGAGCCCAGGAGTTTGAGACCAGCCTGGGCAACATAGCGAAACCTTGTCTCTACAAAAAATACATATTAAAAATATTTAGCCGGGCAAGGTGGCATGATCCTGTAGTCCCAGCTACTCAGGAGAGGGTTGTGGGAGAATCACCTAGGCCTGGGGAGGTCGAGGCTGCAGTGAGCTGGGATAGTGCCATTGTATTTCAGACGGAGCAACAGAGAGAGACTTGTTTCAAAAAGAAATATATGAAGAAATACACATTCCTACTTTGTTGCTATATGTATATTCCAGAAATGTTTGTATACAAATTTGCAATATATATAAACAATCGAAACATCATAAATGCGCATCAGATTGAATATTTGTGCCATTCAACTCTCACAAATATTTTGTTCACTTAATCTATCAAAGTCTGATCAGTATTTCTTCAAATCCTCCATTGTGTCTCAATTGATGCTTTGTAAATTGTAAATTTTAAGGACATGTGGTTGGTTGAGTGAAAGTGTATAACTTTCTCTTCTTCACAGATTGTTGATTTAAAAGTATGAAATATCGTGAACCTGGGAGGCGGAGCTTGCAGTGAGCCGAGATCGCGCCACTGCACTCCAGCCTGGGTGACTAAGCGAGACTCTGTCTCAAAAAAAAATAAAAAATAAAAAATAAATAAAAGTATGAAATATCAACTGTTTTTCTTTTCAAAGGCTGTTTGTGTTAGTATTGGTTTGCTATCGCTGCCATAACAAATTACTATATATTGAACAGCTTCAGCAACACAAACTCATTATCTCACAGTTCTGAATATCAGAATTCTGAACAGGTCTTTTAGGACAAAATCAAGGCCACGACGTGGCTGCATTCCTTTCTGGAGGCTCCAGAGACGCAAATCCATTTCCTTGTTCTTTCAGATTCTTAGTAGAAATGTATATACTTGTATATACACAGATTACAGATAGATCTATGCTTATTAGTTTTTCGAATGTACTGTTGACTTCTTTTATTCACAGTAGCATCTCATCTTCTCCATTTGGGGTTCATTATTCCACTCCCTGATTTACATCTTTAGTAT